TTAAGAGTATCTCTAGTAATTAGCATGTAATTTAACCTTGTTTTTCTTTTTTATTTGCTTATTCTGACAATCTCTTCTGTTTGATTGGAGTGTTTAGTCTTTTTACATGTAATATAATTACTGTTAGGCTTGATTTTAGGTCCATGAGATTTCAATTTGTTTTCATTTAGTCTAATCTGTTGGCTTTTTAGCTAAAACTTGTGTTTTAGTGGTTGTTCTAGAGTTATAACATGCATCCTTAATTTATCATAGTTTACTTTGAATTGACATTATGACACTTAATATACAGTAGTATTTCTATGTACTCTGTCCTATTTTTGTTATTGTCATATATCTTATTTTTACATATGTTATCAATATAATATTGTCATTATTTTTGCTTTAAATTATATTTCCATCAGGCATTGTTTCCCAACAGCAAATAGAAAAATAAAGACATTTTTAGTTAAAAGACCACTTAGAAATTTTGACACTAGCAGACCTATAGGGTTAGAAACCTAAAAGAAATTCTTCAGGCTAAAGAGAAATGCCAAAAAAAATGGAAACTTGGATCTTCAGGAAGGATTGAGTAGCATCAAAAATGATAAATATATGAGTAAATATTAGAAAAGATACATTTTCCTCTTTATTTAAATGCTTCAAATTTTTTATTAGGTAGACTTGGTATACAATATTATATTGGTTTCACATGTATAATATAGAGATTTGACATTTATATACCTTACAATATGCTTACACACTAAGTCTACTTAGTAACCATCTGTCACCATGCGAAATTATTACAATATTATTGACTATTTTTTCCTTCACCTTTTTCATCCATCCCCTACCCCCTCACCCCTCTGGCAATCATAAGTTTAATCACTCTTTTAATGAGTCTGTTTTTGTTTTGTTTGTTCATTTATTTTGTTTTATTAGATTCCACATGTAAGTGAAACCATTTGTTTTCCACTGTCTGACTTATTGCACTCAGCATCATACTCTCTAGGTTCATCCATCTTGTCACAAATGGAAAGATTTCATTAGTTTTTTATTTCATTATCTTTTTGAATTAGCGTCTTCATTTTTTTCAAGTAAATACCCAGATGTGGATTTACTGGGTGGTATGTTAGATCTATTTTTAGTTTTCTGAGGCATCTCTATACAATTTTTTCTAGTGGCTCTACCAATTTGTAACAGTGCACAAGGGTTTCCTTTTCTCCACATTCTTGTCAGCACATGCTATTTTTACTTTTTGATAATTGCCATGCTGACTGCTGTCAGGTGGTTTTGATTTTTAGTTCTCTGATGATTAGTGTTGTTGAGCATCTTTTCATGTGTCTGTTGGCCATCTGTATGCCTTCTTTGGAGAAATGTCTCATGTGCCCTGCCCATTTATTGGTCAGATTGTTAATTTTTTTGTTATTGAGTTTTGTAAGTTCCTTTTAGATTTTGGATATAAACTCTTTATTGAATATATCATTTGCCAATATTTTCTTGCATTCAGTAGGTTGTCTTTTTGTTTTGTTGGCGGTTTCCTTTGATATGCTGAATGAAGCTCTTTAATTTGAGGTAGTCTATTTGTTTATTTTTGCTTTTGTTTTTCTTGGTCTAGGGCCGTGGTCGGCAAACTGTGGCTCACGGCAAACTGTGGCTCATGTACCTCTTTGGCCCCTTGAGTGTAGCTCTTCCTAAGCCTTAGGAGTATCCTAATTAAGTTAATAACAATGTACCTACCTATATAGTTTAAGTTTAAAAAAATTGTCTCTCAAAAGAAATTTCAGTCGTACTGTTGATATTTGGCTCTGTTGACTAATGAGTTTGCCGACCACTGGTCTGGGGGATATGTCAAAAAAGATATCACAGCCCAGCTGGCATGGTTCAGTGGTTGAGCATTGACCTATGAACCAGGAGGCCACGATTCCATTCCCTGCCTGGGTTGCAGGCTTAATCCCCAGTGGGGGGTGTGCAGGAGGTAGCTGATCACTGGTTCTCTCTTATCATTGATGTTTCTCTCTCCTTTTCCTTTCCTCTCTGAAATCAATAAAAATATATTTTAAAAAGATATTACCAAGAATGATGTCAAATACTTTACTACCTATGTATTCTTCTATTAGTTTCATGATTTTAGGTCTTACATTTAAGTCTTTAATCCATAAAAATGCTTCACATTATGTTAAAACTAGAGGCCTGGTGCACAAATTCGTGCATAGGTGGATTCCCTCAGCCTGGCTGGCAATGGGGGCCGAGTGGGGCTGTCTCATCCAGTCCCCATTGGGGCCAATCGGGGCCAGCCAGGGAGAGGGACCACGGGAGGTTGGCCGGCTGAGGGAGGTTAGCTGTGGGAGCGCACTGACCACAAGGGGGCAGCTTGTGCATTGAGCGTCTGCCCCCTGGTGATCAGTGCATCATAGGTACTATCCAGTCATCCAGTCGTTTGGTTGTAACTGTTGCTTAGGCTTATATATATATAGAGAGAGATTACAGCATTTTCTTGTGGGCTTTGTGATACATATGGCAACTATACTATGAAGGGTGAGTCAGATAAATGTACTTACATGACAGTAGCATTTATGTGATGTTATAAAATATTAACTCTAAATGGATTGTGAAAAGTTACATATATATAGTAATCCCTAAAGCAACCCTACAGAGATTTGCAAAATGCATAGTTATTAGTCCCATAGGAAAATTATAATTGCATTTGAAAAATTATTCTAAAGGATGTTAGGAAAGGAAAAACAAAATAACAGAAAAGCCAAAAGAAACTACAGGAAATAAAAAGTAAAATGGTGTACCTTTACTTAACTATATCTAACAGGTATAGATTATTAGAATGGATAAAACAAACAAATAAGATCGATATCTACTATCTGTAAGAGACAAATTTCAAATATAAAGGCACAGTAAGGTAAAGCAGGAAGTGTAAGAAGCAGGAAGTATAAGAAGACCAGACTGCCTATGTTAATACCAAATAAGGTAGACTTCAACAAAAGCTATCACTTGAGGTAGAGTGACATTTTATACTGATGAAAAAATTAACTTATCAGATGATATAACAATCAGTATAAATTATTAGTATAGATCAGCTGTGGGCAAACTACGGCCCGCGGGCCAGATCCGGCCCGTTTGAAATGAATAAAACTAAAAAAAAAAAAAAAAGACCTTACCCATTTATGTAATGATGTTTACTTTGAATTTATATTAGTTCACACAAACACTCCATCCATGCTTTTGTTCTGGCCCTCCGGTCCAGGTTTAGAACCCA